AGTTAAAAAAAATAAAAACAAGCAAGCACAGGACACTTAGAGGAACTATCAGAGCCAAGCAAACAGACTGTGTATGTTCATGCTCGCTGAACAGATTGCTACTCTAGCAGTGTTTTTTGAAGTTGTGCGTTCTGTTTTTTGAGATACTACGAGCACCGGCCCACAAATTTTATTAACGTCTTCGGTAATTATGGCGGATCTAATCAGAAGCTGCCATATTTCTGCGGTTAATGGGCTCTGCGCGGAGGCTGTTGAGGTGAAGGGCTTTTTGAAAGGTCGGCTGACTCACCACTGCTGCTGACCCCCTTCAGCTCTACCTACCCACACCTCTTAAATCTCAATCAGCGATGGGAAGCGTGGCCATTCATTAGCTCGGTATCCAGCGGCTGTCTCTTTCATCTCGCCCCCTATGTCCTCACCACCACACAACTGCCGCCCCTCCTTTTCCGATCCATCTTTCCGTTCCTCAGTAGCAACACTTGACGCGAACCCTCAAAGGTACGGGGGGTCGAAACCGCTCGGAAACTGCTATTGTACTCCTCCAGCTCACGCAGACGCACACACCGCGACCTCCTTCGTACCGCCTCCCTATCTTCCTCCTCCATCACAATCCTTCGATGTCTCCCGACTCTGCACTTCCCTCTGTTTTTTTCTGCTCTGCTGCCAATCAGTGGAGCAGTTTTCACACAGCTACTTGTGGAAGGAGAGAGTGACAGTAAGAACGTGCAGGCGTGTGCACGTCTGTGTGTGCGTGCACGTGCACATGGGCTACAAAGCCTTCTGCTAAGCTGAGGGTGGTTCTCAGGCCCCCCCTCGAGGCAAGGCTGAGATTGAGTTCATTATTCAGTAGGAGTGGGTTCCAGCTGTGTGAAGAGAGAGATGGCGAGCTGCTCTGTCTGTGTTGTGGCTCCTCCAACCCTGCCGTCCACTGGGAACCAGCTGAAAATAATGCGAAGGAGACAGACTTCACTGTCACACACAGACTGCACTCGGGCATTTTTGCAAAAACAATTGGTCGACAGTGAAGGCCTTTCTTTTTTTTTTTTAAATAATGGGAAGTTTTATTACTATTTTTATTTATATATAGGCCAATAATGAGCGTGCTTTTTCTTTTTAGTCAGTAATCATAAAGTTCTAAAATAGATTATTCACTGTGCTGAGCGAGACGCACAAATGTGGCAGCGTTCAAATAGGACTCCTGTGTATCCCTAGATGGCAGTAGTAAGTTAGACATCGGTGCGCTGCCTGCCGTGGAAAACAGAGCATCTTTAAATGTGTGTGAGCATGTGTCTGCTTGTTTGTTTTCCCTTGAGGTTGATAAAGTGTGTTGGTATAATTTCAAAAATAAATTTAAACAAAATCTAATAATAAGCCAAAGGAGAGAAAAAAAACCCAAAAACAAGAGTATTTTCAAAACAGCTCCCATGCCCCGCCATCCTCGTCTTACAGGGCCGTGGTTTCTCCTTCACTCATGAATGAATACAGATTGCAGGAGCCGTTTTTCAGTTCTCACACAAAGGGAATTAACTTGAAATTGCTTTGTTGAAACTGCTCCACAAACAGCTTAGTGCAACACCAGGAAATGGCATCACAGCAACTTTGGATTTGTGAGAATTAAACGTATGATGTTGCCCCCCCACCCCCCACACCCCCACCCCGAAGATGCGCATGAAATTGCATAGAGGGACAATCAGCTTGTATGCAAAAACACGTTGGCTCACATCAACATTTGCTGCTGAACAACAGGCTGTATAGCGCCCGTATTTGTTGCAGGAAAAACAAGTGCATGCTATTGGTTGAGTTATGGCTAACTGACTGTGACTGAGACTCCTAAATCAGTCGGATGGTGCTATATCTGACTGACTGCCCCGAGTGCAACAAAAGTGCAATTCACATTTACCTTTCCAGAAAAAATGCAAGTCATTTTGAGCATGATGAGAGTGCTGTGATTCATGCTGCACAATGTCCTGTCACCGCACTGCTTGATTAACAAACACCGAGACCCCGGGGAGCACCTGTGTATCCTCATCACTTTATGGTCCTGGCAGAAGACTGCATTCACCCTCCACAACAAGACAGAACCGACCTCCGTTCAGTGCATTTCCTGCTTTTCCGGCTAATAACTGTCAGAGGAAACAAAACGGCTGTCGTTACAGATTTGTCATCTGATCTCGACTCACTCCTCATTCTCTAAAATCGCTTTTGACTTCTGAGCCGAATCTTGCGGTTGGGAGGACGCCGACGGTATGAGCTGAGGTAAAAACCACAATGGCAGCGATATTAGCCTGGTATTGAACCTGCAACTATAACGGGGTCAAAGTGGCTGCTAATTTTGGAGAATGGCACTGGCATCCAGCCTGAGATCTGGCATGGCGAGCATCAGTGCCATCACTCACGACAGTCAGTGAGAGGAGTTCCAAGGGCAAAACAGCCCACAGAGTGTCACTTCACACAGATGTACGACCCCAATGTCACGCGGGCTGCAGGCTGTGCGACTATGTAGCTGCATGTCTGTGTGTACTTGTGACAGGCGGACAGGCTCCATCCAGCCCTCTATGTCAGGACCTGTACTGCAAGCGAGTGACACGCTATGCATGAGTGGCCTATTAGGCTGCCCCGGCCTCTGCCATTCAGTAGTGCATCTGCCGCGAGCTCTCGATTCCCTCTGACACATCTGCACTCGAGCCAAGCCCGCTGGACCACACTGAGCATTACTCCTGTCGACAGGCGCGTACCTCCTTTGTCTCAAATTTGCCACAATGCCATTACATTAAAGCTTGTGTGATTGTGCAGAGATGGTTGACTCTTTCTAATTAAGGGTAAAGGTGAGATGAAGAGGCAGGTAAGTACAGCATATTCCCAGCTAACACAGCTGTAGTGCTGGCGCATATGAATCATTCAGAGCACAAGTAGAGCACTTTATAGCCATCAGAAAAAGTTGAAGCCGCTCAGTCAAAATGTCACCGCTGCGATTCCGAAAGAACGATGCAGTGCTCTCAGAAATGGAAGTAAACAAAAATCTTCCACAATTATTCATCCGTGTGTTTCTCTCTGTTTGGAAAACTGTGCAGTGCTAGCAGTGTGACACAACAACACTGCAGACTTGGACTTCTGGACAGCTCACTAATAAACTCGGACAGACTGTTTCACATTAATGTTAGTAATGCAACCATTTATTATCACGCTGGATTTTTAGCAGTGTGACGGGATGACTGTGAATGAAAATATGTTCTGATGTAACTTGCATTTGGAAAAAGAGAAAATGTGGAGACAGCTTTGCATTTTTTCTGTCTGCGTTGGGTCACGAGCTAGGCTTCGTTAGCACTAGCCTTTACTGATTAGCATTGGAGCTGTTACCTGTGAACAGTGCACGCTACTCTACACTTTGAAGACTTATGTCCACGTCGGCTCGTGCAAATAATGCTTTTAACATGATTTTTTCCAAGAAACTTACTGAGCTCTGTGTTAAAAGGATCAGTTGCTGCATCTGCTTCTGTTAAAGCTTAGGCACACTACAATGAAGTACCTATGAGTACAATATGTGTACCCACTGCTGATATATTCTCACCACCTACAACTAAATAAACTTCCTGTACTCCTTCAGTAAAACGGTGCCACCTTTGCACCTGATTCTGGGTTTGTCCTGATTTGTGCTTCATTGTCTTTCTTTCCCCCACCACCACTTCTCCACGATGCCACACCACCCCGCTCCTCTGAAATCCCCCACAGTCAGCTCAGATGCAGCATCCATACCAAACAACAGGAGCAGAAATTCTGCGACTCCTGCCAGTATACCAGCAGACAGCAGCAAGGTGGATAAAATCACCTCCTCACTCAACATTTAGTCTCATGAACAAATCTAAAAGATATTTAAAAAACACACAGCTATCCTCTCAAGCTTATCATCACCAGCTTCTTTCAGCAAAGACTGGAGACGTTTGACCTACTGTAGTTCACACACTGCAGTTTTCCTGTTCATTGCATCTCTTTCATTATTATTATTTTTTTTAATTCTAGAGAAACTTGAAAGGAGAACAAATAAAGATTTTGAAAACGGGTATTGCTCTTTGGGACTTCCTAACCTTGTAGGAGCTAAAATAAGAACTACCTGCACATTTGCATACTTTAGAGTTGAAAACAAACTTCCTCCAAAATTTCCATCATTAGCCTGTCAGCCTGAATACAAGGAGAGGAGCCTGTTCTCACTCCCGAGGCGTAACATCCCGACGTGTTGAGGAGAGAGGACAGGATAGGTGTGGGAGACTGCAGTGTCTGACCTAATGGAGGTTCGGTCAGTTCATTGTGAAAAACAAAGAAAACATAAAATCACATGAACACAGAAAGTTTGGAAGCTATTCTTCACACGGCCTTGCTTTTACTAAGCATCAGTCTCCATGTGTGTGTAACATCACACATTCCTGTTAACATGCATCAAATTGGTCCCAAATTCGAGGACCAGCAGAGAATTCTGTTCTGACATTAAGTCCTGAATCACTGTGATATACAGTAACGAGGTGCCTGTGCTTTAGATCTATGCTAAACAACGCCTCACTGCAGTGGTCTCTTCAGTGCTTTTTGTTTCAGCTGTGTCTGTGCAGTCACTCTGGATCCTTCACCTGAGAAAGGCTCTTATTTCTTTTTAGTCATGCACCTTTTCCCCCTGGATGTGCTTTTGCATAACTCTGTATTTGCAGTGAAGTCACTGGTCTGACGAGATTACTCACATCGCATCCTCTGACTTTTTCTTATGTTTAAGGACCCCCTCTGCACCCCTGGACCTCAGGCTGACACCCACCCACTCCACTGACTGCACAGCGAACGGATTTGATTAATTCCAGGCGAGCTGCGCCACCTTGACGGCATTTAATCACTGAGAAAAGACAGGAAACGTACTCATTCCTTATCCTCCTGCTCTCCCACCCCACCCCGCCTCTCCTGTCCTCTCCTCTCTCCTGCCGTCTCCGGTGCGTCTGTTCGCTCTGAAAAGCGGCGGTGTGCGTTTGTGGAGGAGCCGGAGGAGCGCTGCACTGTTCTGCGCACTGGTTCCGCTGGACATCACCGAATAACGGCGCTCGACAACCGGGTGGTGGTGGAGGGGGAGACTGGACCCGGACCCGGAGCAGGAGCAGGAGAAGCACCGTGGCTCTTTACAGCCCGCTCTCCGAAAACATGTCGGAGTTTTTTCTACTCGCCTTTCTAGCCCTGTTCTCGGGATTATTTCCGTGCGCCGAGCCCTCGACGGTGTCGGACGAGGAGAAAGGTAAGGAGCCACCGGGCCGCCGGGAATGCGCAGTCCGGTGAAACTTGGCAGCGCGGGCCGCCTTTAGTGCAGTGTGGGCGCCGTGACGGGCAGCAGCAGCTGGATGTGAATGTGTTTCTGAACGATGGAGAGTTGATGGTCGGTGGCATACCTCACTAAGTCCGCTCGTCTCTGTGTGTTGTAATTGAGGATGTTTCACTGTAATGTCCCCCCCGCCCCCAGCTGTTGGACCACAAATAACGATACCACCTGTGCGGTGACCCCCCGAGCGTGCGTGTTGCACCGCTTTCCCGCGTGGGCATTTTCAGGAATGTTCCCGTGGATATACCGGGATAGACTCGGCGGCTCTGACTGCAGGTGCGTTGCAGTGCTATCCTCCAATGCAGCAGGTGACCAGAGCCGAGCTCGGTGCCGGAGTGCGTGCTGTCTCTCCGGTATACCTGTGCCGTGCGGACGCGCAGCGGTGTGCGCGGTGCAGTGGCTCCGTGCTCGGGTAATGTCGGGAATCATTTTAGGTGAATCTGTATTCCGCCACACAGGCTCGGGGAAATCTAAAAATCCGAGTCACAGAGCAGGATCCCCGAGAGGAAAGAAGCAGCCCGGCTTCACCGAGCAGGCACTGTCAGGATTTTATCGAGTTAAAGCGCATATTAGGCTCGTGCTATTTGTTAAACAGCTGCATTCATAGACAGGAATTTATTAAGAGTATGCAAGGACGGAGAATTTCTGAAAACCTAAAGGAGGTTATCAGCGGGCTTTTTAATTACACAAAATATTTGTGATTTAGTAGTTTGCATGTATTATTGTAGGGTCTACCTTACAGTATAAAATAAAACTGAATTGAATTGAAGTAGTTATCCTTATAGTCAAACATCAACTTTTACTGTGAACCTTTCAAAACTCCCATTTCAGGACTTACATGTTGAGTCATGGGCTGATTGCATTAATCGTCCCCCAAAGACAAACTGTGGTAAGTGTAACATGCAGTTGTAAGGAACATGTTTGCATGCCCATTGATTTGTTGTCAGTGGACATGATTGCTTCATAGTTCTCCCACTTTCTGTTCCCCAGCAGAGACATCTTTGTCAGGGCTGTTTTGCTTGTTGTGAGACCTTCACGAAGGAGACTCATGAGCCTGCCTTCCAATCACTGTAAATCACCAAAACCAACAAAAAACCAGCTACCTTTCTCTGCCTCCTGCTCTGTGAGGGTGGAGGTGTGGCTTGAATCAGAGTAAAAACAGGTATCATAATGGCTCATCGAGCTGCTATAACAGTTTTTAGAAGGACAGCAGATAGGATGGGGCGGACTCACAGACACAAAGGTTCCAAATCTACTTTCAGAGAAATCCGAGTTGGAAAGTTGGACCCTGTATCTCTGTGTGCTGTCCTGCTCCATTTGTACCCAGAATAAATGGGAGCTCTTGTAGCTGTGTCTAAATGGACGGTAATGATAATAGCGTTTCATTTTTCTTTCAACACCAAAGCTGGTTTTTATCCTAATTAGTCTGAAATTAATTTGCTTTGTGGTAGCAGCGTTGTTACTTTGAATGCCAAGTAGTGAGCCCGTGGTTTTCTCTGCATGAATAAAAGGCATTTCCAGAATCACCCCTCAATGGCACGAGCTCTTTGAAATGCTTCCACCTTGTTTTTCCCCTTTTATCGCTTGCGCCCATCTAACATTGAGCAGACTGACCTGATCGGCTGGTGTGGCAGTACGCTGCTCATCTAACAAAAGGACAGGCTTGGAAATTTGGACACACCGCAGCACTACCTGTTTATTTAATTTAAAAAAAAACCCCCAAAAACCTGGATGCCGTGCACTGACCTCAGCACCAGATAAGCATCACCAGCTGCAAACAGCTCAAGGTTGTTTGTAATGTATACCCTATTTAAGAGACGATAGTATAGTGCAAGGCACATCCACTAATACGAGGGAGGCTGCCTTTAGAGGCTAATTAAGTGAGATAGCCAGATACCATCGCAGAAGTGTATGTAAGTGCTCGTGTGTGTATGTGTGCAAAGGCAAGCACCAGAATCACGATGAGGGAGCGTCTGTATTATGTGCAGCTCGTTGGCCAGCAGAGATAAGGACTTTGTAGATTTTCTCAGTTGTGAGCTCCTGAAATGTTACTGTCTAAACACTCATCATTGGACAATAAAGATATAAAACGTGTGGACTACACCAAACACTCCTGCCAGGATGAATATAGTGCTGAAGGCCACACTGTAAGAAATGCAAGATAAATTTAACATTTTTGGACCATTTGAGAAACAAAAGCATGTCTTTGGCGTCCTTTTAAGTATGTTCTCATTATGAAATTATTGTAATATATTTTTATTTATTCAGAAAAAAATTAGGAAACAGTTTTTTCTTCCTTCTTGTACATTTTAAAATATTGCTGCAACTATGAATATACAAACTTATGCTTCAGTATATTTCTTACTTTTTAACTTTTAGTGGTTAGAATGACTCTAATTCTACTGAACTGTTAAAGCCACAGCGTGCTGCATCAACTGTGCAGGCAGGCGCAGCTTTTGTCAGGCTGACGGGTCGATACGAACAGCGAATGACTCAGAAACGAAGCTGAAAGCCTGTAAAGCTCCTCTCATCTTTTCTGTATGCATGTGAGACTGATAGTCATCGCTCCAAAATGCTGAACTGTTTTCACCTCCACTGCCTGAGGTGACTCTCAGGGAGCATCGTGGGCTTAAGATGATGAGACAAAGTTCCTGACTCTGAAGTGCTGAAGCAGGCAGAAGGGGCCAGTATTAGCACCACGATCATGACAGCTCAGCTGAGATGGTTAAGGTACGAGAAGCCACAAGAAAGTCTGCCAAAGAAGACCTCGCACGGCAAGAGCGCCAAAATAGGAGGCTGATGTAAGCACTGCTACCTGCAGTTGTTACCGAAACGTTTTCACGTCGAATTGCACGACTCGTTTCGAACTGCTCTGCTAGACCTCGCCGGATTATGCAGAGGCCATTTGCTAAACCACACAAACATATCAGTAACCTCAGGAATCTGCTCCTGCTCAGGTACACATCGGAGTAGAGGAAGGCTCCAGGACTGATTAGCAATTCCAGAGTTCACAAAAATAAACTTGAGACTGAAAGTGTGATGTACAAACTTTATCTGTAATTGTGCTAACAAAAACAGAGGCGGTGAGGAGAACATGAGTGCAAAAAGCAACCTTGCAGGAGGGAACAGTTTAATATTGTAAATTCACACATGAAGGTGGGCAGACAGGTACACGTGGCGAGGATAGCAACACATCTCAGAAGCAGAAATGACGGAGTCCAACCTGAAGGGGCTGATTTGGCTGTAGCGGCAGGAGCGACTGTGACAGGAGGCCGAGGGTTAAAATAATGTAGGGTTACAGGAACTGCTTGAAAAATGTCCGTCCTGCTTAATGTCGCCTTTGTACCCTTACTCATTCAACAGACAGCTAGGACACAGTAAATTGTGAGTGGACTTTATAAATGGATATTATGTAAATCACTTGGTTTTAGCACCTTTAAACAAACAAAATAAACAGACATGTTCCATATTCTTGTTGGCGTTCTGGAAGCTGGTGTTATATGAAGATCAGGGTGTTGTTTTTAGGGGAGAAATATTAGATAGCGACTAGCATGTGACCTTCAAAGGTTGGACCGAATTCTGTTTTCATAGCTGCTTTACGTCTTTTTCTGGAAACCATTAACACTAGAAGAGGCCTCCAGCTGCGATTGCTCCTTTGTAGCTCAATTTTCTGTCCACATCCTGTTTTGACAAGGCAGCAAAAGCGTGCACCTCAGCAAGTGGGGATCTTAAGGACTGAAAATAACCTGCAATCACCTGACTGCTCTGATGATTTAAGAAATCATACCGGTAAAAACATAAACACAGACGCTGTGTGCCGTCGAATGCATTAGCCTGCGCTCTGTTAGCCAGGAGACATTTGTGAAGTGGTTACTGGCTGGTGTTGTTATTGGCATCCATGAGTTGTGCTTCAGGTGCTTTTTGTTAAGTATTGCTTCATAGGTTTGTCTTGGCTAGAAAACCAGACAAGTTGTCAGAAAAAGCCTGTCAGCTCGTTACATCTGCGGAGGGTCAGATGCAGTTATATATGAGCACTTCTTCTAAACCTCTGTATTTTCTTTTTCCTCCCAGAAGTCCTCTAAACATAGTCGTGGCAGGATTTCTGAGGTTTGTTTGAGGCAAGTGCTTAGACTGCACTTTTGCAGGGTGGCATTCAGTCTTTTATGAGCTATGTAAAGACATTAAAACAGCTGACACATCTATCTGGTGATGTGAGCTAAGTGCTGCTGTCATTGAGCTCTTACATCTATCTCAGGGCAGAGGTGAAGCATGGCCTCGAGCTACAGTCGAATTCAGTGATCCGGCCCCGCACGCCTCGTATGGAACACAGTTATTGAAGGAAGGTGTTAGATTTTTGCTCGTGTCACCTTTAATATCAGCTCTCACAGCCTTAATGGGCTACAATTGAATAAGTAATGCAGTGGGCTCAGGTTGTAGAAGCCACTGGCTGTAAATTGACTTGTAGCATTGATTATCAATGGGAGGAGGAGCTAGATTTCTGACCCACATGATCTGTTTTGGTTAATGTTCTGGGAAGACTTAATTATGTGGGTAGCATGGGGTTTGATATTAGATTTTTCCAAAATGTTACATAATTTAAAAGGTGAATATTGAATCAGCAAGTTTGTCTTTAGAGAAATCCCCTGATGCTGGCGTTGAATCTAAGAACTTAACTCAGCTGTATACAGATATGGTTCCTCTCATAAAAAAACTTCTGAATGAATTATTAATGCAGGAAAGCATTACTGTTTTATTGCCAAATATGCTAATGAAAGTAGGGCTCATACGAGCAGTAGTGGGATACGCTGCTTCTCTCATAAGTCGAGTTAAGTATGAGGTCATCAGCAGGTGACAGACACGATAGAACACATCATTAAATGAAATGTAAGGGTGAGGTAATGTACTTTTAAAATGTAAAA